TGTTACATCTCCTACCTTTTCACAGCCATATGTTGGTACTTCAGACCCACTCCAAATGGACAATAAGATTTTGTATAATATTTCTTCTTTACTATTCTAAATGGACAGTAACTCATTGTCTAGGCTTTCTTCTCTTCTTCTCTCTAATATGATTTAAAATTTTGGAAATATTTAACTACTGCCTATGTGCTGACATTTAATGGATCATACTAACAGGTAACGGAATGGTTCTGTCTGCCAACTCTGTTGAATGCTTTCTTCTCAGTCATACATTCCTTAAACCATCTCAGACTGTACAATTACCAGTATACATCTTACATTGCATTTACAATCCAATAGGCATTGGTAAGGGAGGAACTGTAATAGGTAGTACAACTACTTTTCCAGTACGACTACATCGCTATCAGCAGGATCACAACCCTGAATATCTCATATTTACTGTCTACTTTGCATCTTGGGTCGCCCCCTAGCTACTATCTACATTTGATCTGGTGATTCTTTGCCTCATGGCATCTTAGTATACTTGGACCATACCATCCAAAGCTATATTTTTATAACCCATAGCCACTCTCCCTTTAAATTACATCATTTTCATTATACATTATATAATATTAAACAATCTAATCTGTCCCTTCCATTTCTTATTCATCCCAACTACAGAACCACTCCTGTTGTTTCTGTGGCTCAGACAGTTTGGTTTCACTGATAAAGGTTCACATTCTTCTTCCAATTGGTAGTGAACATCATCCAATCCTAATTCAGCTAGGAACCAGGAATACATATGCAAAACCAGTGACTCAAAGTACTTTTTTGAGTTACGATGATGTAGACTGGCCATCTTACCAGACCCATATCACCAATACCCTGCAGGATACAGTTGTGGATTTTTTGTCTCTTGAGCTTATTAACTCCTTGGCTCAAAAACTTGAAATTGTACTTATTTCACTTATTTCCCAGCATATTCCAACCTTTTGTTCTACTTCACATAAAACCTTCACTGCCCCCACAGACCAGTGTCATTACTTCACTTTTCTATTTCGAGAATATTCCCGATCCAGAGACACCATCATTCTGTGGTGCCATAGGAGTATTCACTGTATTAAAAGACTTCAATTGCAAAATGTCTGTAATCAACTTCAGAATTCCCCCAGTTTCCCTCACTACTGGCGTCTAATTAAATTACTGATTGGACAGTTATGCTCTCTCGTTTACCCAATCGTAGATGACAATCCTGTTCCAACAACGTTTCTTGACAAGGCCAATCTCTTTGCAGGCTTCCTTGAAACAAAAGTTCAAGTTTCATAACCACATTCGCTTATTTTCATATTACAGATGACACTTCCACGTTATCTTATATCGCACTAACTGAACTTACCCCAATTTTAATAATTCTCTGGATGCTCCAATAACTGTGGCTGATATCCATCTAGCTCTACAGAATAAGTGTACTACTGCACAAGGTATGGATGGAATTACCTATACACATCTTTGTCAAGCTCCAAGGAAGTTATTTTTTGCTTCTGGCAGTACTCTTTACAGTTCTTCTTCTCACTGGATTTCACTCCCAATCTTGGAAGTCCTCAATCATTCTACAGTTTTGGCCAAAATGTTTGTATACTGTTCTATATTGATATTATTGTCTATATGCATGGAGTAGTTAGTGAGTAAATGGTCGAGTAGTAACAGAGAATGTAGCATATGATCAGACTAGCATGTACGAGTTGTTATTCTGGTATGCATAAGCTATTTTGAGCATTTATTCATCTAAACACCCATACACATCTGTTTTGTATAAAAGGGTGTGCTTTTAGTATAACCTTTTTCGAAAGAGATCATTACTTTGTTCAGACAATTTCTCTGTACTTGGTGTAGATTCATGCCTTGTCATATGCCAAAAGTTATAGGGCATCAAATTGTTCGACTGTCCAGAAATGGTATGAAGCAAATGGAAATTGCTAGAACAGTAGGATACCCCTAGTGTGCTGTATCCATACTCCTGAGACGTCCAGGAAAGTCTACTGGTAGACACCGATAACCTACTGGCCCAAGATGACCGTGTTTTGATCAGGTTAACACGTCAAGGCCAAAAGAAGTATGGCAACACCTTACGACAGGAATGGTATGAACACATTAATTCCAGGGTATCCAGAACAACAGTGAATCGGAGCCTTTCCAAATTAGGTTATTTTGCAAGAAGGGCTTTCCTCACACCGTTATTAACCAGATTTATCACTGTCGCCGTGATACTTGAGCAGGACAGCATGCTCACTTAGAGTTAGGACACTGGCGACATATAATATTTTTCAGACGAGTCCTGTTTCCAGCTTCTAGTGATAAGTTGGGATAAAATCACGGTGAATTACATCAATAACCTCATTAACAACATGCCTCATCGCCTGGCGGAGGTTATTAGAGTACGAGGAGGACCAACCAAGTACTGAATGTTTAATATGAACTGATATAAGGTTACAGACGCTATTTATAATAATTTGATGTTATACTTTGTCATTATCTATATATTGGTGAGGTTTTGTTGCGATAGGTGAAATACTGAATTACACATCTTTCTAAAGGTGTCAGATAAAAATCTCATCATACAAATTACAAATGTAGATGTTTAATATAAGATGCATTTCTCAGTTTGACAGCGATATATGTATTTGTATTCCATCTTAATAATATTGATCTTATTTGTTACAAAATATGCGAACACTTTGGCTACGACTGTATGAAAAACCTGCCTCCGTATAATTATCCTGTCTGAAGATGATTTTCTTTTCTTGTATCCTATTTCCCTTCACTTCAGACCTAATAAACACTTGGAAAACGTCATTTCACACCCTTCAGTTTCCATTCTGGAATCCTTTTCACTCCAAAAAAAAAAAAAGTACAACAATCCGTCCATTTTCTATAGCTACTCTATTTTGCAGTCTTGTTTCATGGCCGAAGAGCGAGAGAGCATAATATTCTGCTGGTCCGCCAACACTATGGTTGGAATGAAATGACAATGGAAAATAATCTTTCAATCTGCTCTTATCGAGGGTTACTGAAGAAAGGTGGAATTTCCATAAATCAGTATAATTCAGTGACAAGTGGTAAGTCAAGTATTAGTTGGGCTTCACATTTATTTTTAGTACTTGTTAACTAGTCTGTCCTACCGCTATTTTGAGAAGTCAGGTTCTAGGTCATCAATAAATATTTGTAAATTTTTGAGGTAGTTTTTACGATTCCTATATGGAATTGAAGTCTAGTGCAATTAACAAATAAAGTTTCAAAAGAAATATGTCATTAAAAATAGATCAAGTTGAAGTTGATGGATATATAATGGAACTTTTCTGACGAATAATAAAACAAAAGATTAAACTGTAAGGTTGTGGATTTGTTAGTGCGCTATCTGTACACTTCTCACTGCGAGAAATCGAGCCCCCGCTTTTAGCTTTATAAGTTCTTAACTGATGATGACAAAACCTTGTCGAAACGTTGTACATTTGCTGTCATGTTAAACTTATATTAAAGTT